TCCTCTAGCTACTATTTGGACTATATTTAAAGAGAGGAAATAGAAGGGCATTTGGACTAACTGTGTATTCTAGTGAGGATTTTGGGGACTTCATAAATATTTTGCTTTATTTGTAAATATTTTATGTGGGTTTTCACCTTCTAGGTGCCTTATAATCTGCTCATTTTCTTGCCAAAAAAATTTATCATGTACCCCATGTATTTTGAAAAATATCCTTTTTTAGGTACTTGAACACTATGAAATTTAATGGAAAACATTTTTTTTTTTCAAATTATTGTACTTTCTGTGGGCGTAATACCGTCATTGTCTGGACTCTCTAATTTTAGTGTCATATGCATGTCAAATGTGACCCAATCTTTGTGTGGGTATGAGACCTTTGTCTGATAATTGATATGCATGTTAAACACTTGATGATCTGGAACTAGGTGATATGATATATGATAGTATAAAGACAATGATAAAGGCCCTGTGATTTAGAAGGTGGAAAAGAACACAATACATAGAAACATGTTCTTGAATGTCAAAGTCTTAAGCATTTTGTATAATGACACACTACATCAGTTAGATATTACTATCACATATAAATTTCACCCACTACAGATATGAGTCTGCTATCTTTCTGTACTAAAGACTAATATGTCATAGTTTTATTACTTTTCATATTAAATCCTAGACTAATTTGTGGATTTTTGTTGGCCAAGGTCCTGTATTTTTTGCCTTAAAAATTATAGAGCTAGAAACTTGGATTGAAGCACACACTGAACACTTGCACCTGAATCCGAGCAACATAGCATAATACCAACAAATAACACTTTCCCCTCCCAAAGAAACCTACAAGAATGATTATTTCGTATAAAGACCCATGTACATCTTTTTTTTTTGAGGTAGTAATCATGGTTTGTAATAATTATTAACTATAATATCTTTATTTTTAAAAAAAATATTTGGACAAAGAAAATGTTGTTTCTATATAGAATTTGTTTTCCTTTCTTTTTGAGGAAAATAATGAATTTTCTTGTGTTCTAATTGATTGCAGAGAAAATGAACTCAAAGGATATAAATTCAAGATAATTGAAATGGACAAGAACAGGACTTTCATAAAAAAAAATTACGAAGAAGATAGTAGGTTTGTCCAAAATTTATTCACCTGTCGAAAAAATAATTGAAATTGAGGTTTGAAGTCTTTTATATATAACATATGTATATTTATTTTATATTTCTGTGAGAACAATTCTTATTCCTTCAAATTCACTCCAAATATGTATATTTTTCCATTGACTGGATAACTAAATCTTATCCAAAAGAAAAAGCAGTTGCTTAAATTGTATAATATAAGTGTCTTACAAGATTGATATGTATAGAAATATGTTACTTATTTTATACTGCCAATATAAATGTAACCAAGCCCATCTTCTTAAAATTAGTCTTACAAAACTTAACTAAGTTCTAAAGGTTATGAAATTTTATTCCATGGAAGTAATGGCGAAGTATGAAAAAATGTGAAAGTGTAGACACCAATTTGGAAATAAATTTCATGTTTCTACTTTTATATTGGATAGTTATAGTTGAGTGTAAACAGGATGAATAATATATAAATGTTTATAAAAAGTATTTTGGATCTATAAAACAATACGATAAATTGGCAAAAAAGTCAGTTAGTAAATGCTTAATTGGTAGACTGATTATGGTGATAAATTTAGGGATTTATACAAAATAAAAAGGGTAAGTGTAATGCAGGGGTAACAAAGGGATACAGGCAAGTGTATATTTTCAAAATACATGGGGGTAAATGGAATACATCAGACTATAGGATGGACTTGGACAAAGTCCCAACCACTCAGCATCAGAAGGGTTTAGAGGATGGAGGAGGTTTGACTCTGTTCTGTTGAGTATCTCAGCCATTAGAACAGCTGCTCTTCCACCATCACCATCACCACCCCTCCAGCAGCGAGAGCCCACCACAACAACCACCACCAGGAAAAGATAAATGATGAAGGATGATTTTTCTTTTAACTGTTTCATTTTTATTCACACGAAAATGTTCTGATGCGATAATAATTGTTTGTTACAGGTACATCCAGAGCACTTGTGCAACTTCAGGAGAAGGTCTTTATGAGGGGTTGGATTGGCTTTCCAACAACATCGCTAGCAAGGCAAGTACCTGAACTTGCTAAAATCATAAAGTTTACTTTGATAAGGGTCTAATAGAAGTATTATAGATGAAGGCACCAAGAGAGTGCCGCCAATGAACTTAGAAGCCAAAGATTACAGGAGAAGATCAAGCATTATATTTAAAGTTCCCCAAGATCTTCTGTATTAAGTAGAGAATGACTTTTGAACAAAATGCATAAGATCTAGAATATTTTCTCTCTAAGGAAACAGTTATTATCTAGTGAATTACATGACTGGACTCAATAAGCGAGTCCATTTTTACGTTTTGTAACAAGAAAGAAAGGTTTTTATTGTAGTGTAAAAATTTAAAGTTAAAGATTCTCTCCTCATAGTTCATACTGGTCAGACTGATTTATTCCTTTGGAAAGAAAATCTAGTTATGTAAAATTTCAAAAGATCTCTCTCCATTTTCAAGCAACCATAATTATTTGGAGTTTCATTATTCTCCCATTGTCCACCGTTGCTTGGTCACGAGCCATTTCAAAAATGGTTTTAACTTGGCTTTTTCAGCCATGCTCCCTGACTGGTTGTGCAACAAAGACCAACTAATTAATCTTTTATTTGCTTTTGTAATATTTTCTTCTAATATATTAATATTATTTTGATTAAGATTTACTGGCTGATGTCTTGTTATTCACTGACTTTATATATTCTAAGAAATTCAATTAGTTGATTTTAAGTTATTATTAATAATAGATTTATAAATTTATTAAAATGAATTTATTTCAATAGTTTTCTAAATATTAATTAAGAAACTTTAATTTGTTTTGATCTATTACATATGTTGTGAATGTACTATTAATTAGAATCAAGTCCATAGTTTAAAATAATTTAATTTTCTTCAAGCTGTCAAAGATACAAGAAAATATAATGCATGAGGATATTACTCGTTTGTTATGTCTAAATTAATAATCCAATTGTATGTTTTCGAACTATTTAGATTTGTTGAATTCTACATACTCCTGTCCTGTTCTATTTTAAGTCTATCAAAAGCCACCTCAATTAGGAGAATTTGAACTACTTACATAGAATATTCTTGTATTATTTTCTCTACAAATAGTCCAAACAATAACTTGAGTGAAAGTTTCTTTTAGAAACAAAGAGCTGAATCCCATGACCTTTTATAAGTGATTAGTCAATAAGGATATATCTTTACTTTCCATTTTGCTGCTTATGTCGGGTATTGTTTTCTTTTACAGGCATGAAGTTTTTGAGGATTTTGGTTCTTAGACAGAGACTCTGATAATCGTGGAGAAAATAGTTGTGCTTTTATTTGATCGAGTTTGTAATGGCAGAATGGTTATGTAATTGTTGGTTAGCTAATACTTTTAGCTATAAATATAACTATTATGATGATACTATGTTTTGGTAAATTGCATCATATCCTGGATATGGTTTGGTTTGCTTCATATAGTGCTTCTCTTACCCTCTAGATTTCAATTTATATTTTTCAAATAATCGTGGAGAAAATAGTTGTGCTTTTGTTTGATCGGGTTTGTAATGGCAGAATGGTTATGTAATTGTTGGTTTAGCTAATACTTTTAGCTATAAATATAACTATTATGATGATACTATGTTTTGGTAAATTGCATCATATCCTGGATATGGTTTGGTTTGCTTCATATAGTGCTTCTCTTACCCTCTAGATTTCAATTTATATTTTTCAAATAATCGTGGAGAAAATAGTTGTGCTTTTGTTTGATCGGGTTTGTAATGGCAGAATGGTTATGTAATTGTTGGTTTAGCTAATACTTTTAGCTATAAATATAACTATTATGATGATACTATGTTTTGGTAAATTGCATCATATCCTGGATATGGTTTGGTTTGCTTCATATAGTGCTTCTCTTACCCTCTAGATTTCAATTTATATTTTTCAAATAATCGTGGAGAAAATAGTTGTACTTTTGTTTGATCGGGTTTGTAATGGCAGAATGGTTATGTAATTGTTGGGTTTAGCTAATACTTTTTAGCTATAAATATAACTATTATGATGATACTATGTTTTGGTAAATTGCATCATATCCTGGATATGGTTTGGTTTGCTTCATATAGTGCTTCTCTTACCCTCTAGAGCATCATATCCTGGATATGGTTTGGTTTGCTTCATATAGTGCTTCTCTTACCCTCTAGATTTCAATTTATATTTTTCAAATAATCGTGGAGAAAATAGTTGTGCTTTTGTTTGATCGGGTTTGTAATGGCAGAATGGTTATGTAATTGTTGGTTTAGCTAATACTTTTAGCTATAAATATAACTATTATGATGATACTATGTTTTGGTAAATTGCATCATATCCTGGATATGGTTTGGTTTGCTTCATATAGATTTCAATTTATATTTTTCAAATTTCATATATATATATATATATATATATATACATATCCTGTCAGAAATTTTATGTCCATGCATAAAATGAGCTTAATGGTAAAGTTGTCTTTTTTCTTTTTACACTTAATAAACATTTTTACTGGGTCTAGGATGAGAGGTAAAGGAGAAGAGAGTTGCGAGAGATATATTTGGATAATTTATTTTGATACTTAAATTAATTAAAATAATAACTTGAAAAAATTAAAAAAAATGAAAAATAATTATAGTAATTAAAAAATCAAGAACTAAATTGAGAATTAATAAAACATTAGAAATCATTTTATTATTAAACTAAAAATAGGTTGGTTAAAACTAGAAAGATCACTTTAAAAAAGCTTAAAACTTTAACTCATGCTTTGAATTTGTTTTGATTAAAAAAAAGTATTTGAATTTTTCAAATTATTATGATTATTTTAATTAAAAAAATTTATGGGACACAATGTTTATTTAGTTTATATACATTATAATTTATTGGGATAAGTTTAATTTAATTATTATAGTTTTACCAATACATTAATAAATTAAGTGAAAAAGTTACTAAATTAAACATTATTAGTATGTAATTATTACCTTATAATATGCTTCTAAAGTACTAAATTCTACACTTGAACCCAATGACTCCAAGCAGAGAACAAAGATATTAACTTGGTGGTTTGGTAGCTTTTGAATTATACAAACAGTATTTTACATATTCTATCGGGTGGCTGATGAATTGAGTGATATTTTCCTATCAAGTCAGCTGGCATATTTACAAGACAAATACTTTTTTTATGATGTAAATAAATTCTATTAGCAAAAAAGAATAGGTTAAAGAAATTAGCCAGATGAAAGTAAAAGACTGCGTAAGGTCCTCTGGGGAGTTTTTCTTTTTCAGTAAAAATTTGAAATTTTATCAAACAAAGGAAACTTAAGAATCTTGCAAAAGAAAATATTAAAAAAAATCAAGAACCTTCTCTAAACAAACAAATACATCAAGTTTTTTTTGAACTTAAGTATCTGCAACTTAATTACAAAAAAAAATTAAAGAGATGTAATTGTACAAAATTAAACAGGTCTTATAGATCAGAATTAAGGAGATCTGATTGTATATAATTAAGGAGATATAATTGTATAAAATTAAAGAAGCCTTAGGGATTAGAATTAAAGAGGTCTGATTAAACAAAATTAAGGAGACCTTAGGAGCCAGAATTAAAGAGGTTTGATTGAAATATGCCTTATGGCTCTTACATATATATATGAATTCATATGTATGAGAAAAACAAACAATTTTCTCCTTGAAATCGATATGGTATTAGAGCCAGTTTTGGCTTGTTAGAAAAAAAAATCAAAAGCCACCATGGCTGATGAAAACAACGGGTTTCTAGGGCTAAGCTGAGATCAACGGGCGAAGTTACTTAACATGCTGAATGCAAGTAAAACATGCATAATTGAATGACTTTCTAGTAAGACAAGTTCAAATAAATGAATTATCGATTCAAGAGCCTCACATCATATGACAGGAGATATAAACATGTTGTTTGATGTTCGGGAGATCGTACCATGCCCCATGGACTTCCTAATGGAAAAAATACAATAGCTTTAAAAGAAGGAAAATTGTGTTTGAAAAATGATACATATATCAATTATGTTTTGGTTGTTCTTGATGCAGAACTCGGGATCAACAATACAAGGCAAAACCCTGCATATAGATAAGCAACCAAAAACTCAAAACCGTAAGTAAAACCACCCTACTTGACTCGCAGTCAATAGGGGAGTGAAAACTAATGTTATAGAGAATGAAATAAAGAACTAAAATTGAAAACACACCATAAGATTTATCTCGATAAGTGATTCCAATTTCTAACACAACAAGTTGGTCGAAAACTCACTCACTCACTCAAGAAAGTTTGGAAGCTTAAAACAAGAATATCTGAATTTTATTGCTGTAAAATTTTTGAATGGCTCTACAACTCTGAATTAAAGGCATATTTATAATGTAAGTCATATAAATAATAAGAAAAATAATCCCCTAAATTAATGACAAAATTATATAGGAAAATAAATTTAGAGTAAAATAAAAAACTAGCAAAATTAAGAGGATTACTTTCTAAAATAGGATAGATATGATCTCATTTTTTAAATAGAAGAGTCTTAATTAATGGGGGCTGATTTAGGGGAATAAAATTGGAAAAATTTAGGGTGGGCCATTAAAAGAGCAACATGGCTGCCCATTTATGTCCTAAACAATATTTGGCTCTTAAATAAGTTTTCTTCTTTTCTTCTAACAA